CAACACAGGGTTCTTAGCAAGAGCAATGGCACCCTGGCTGTCACAGTACAGTGGGGTAGGTCCTTGCTGCTCCTCCCCCAATTCAGCCAACAAACGCCGTTGCCACACAATCTCCCGTACGGCACGGAAGAGTGCCATGTACTCGGACTCCACCGAGCTCAAAGCTTGGTCAACCTGCTTCTTGCTCTCCCAAACAGTTGGGCCTCCACCAACACAGCATATGAAGCCTCCCACACTTGTCATGTCCTCTGGTTCTGATGCATATGAAGCATCCGAGTAGGCGGTGAGGAACAAACGCCCGGGTTCAACACCATCCGCGCCCTTTTGGCGCCTTTGTGCCGCCGCCGAGTATTGCAGCCCAACGGTCGGTGTTTGGCCAAGATACTTGGCCACCCTCATTCCAGCTGCTACCTGCTCCTCATTAGGGCATTGCACAACCCTAGCCAGCTGCCCGGTAGCAAACGCGACGTCCGGTCGGGTGTTTACCGCCGCATACATGAGGCTGCCCACCAACGAGTGAAATTGGCGCCTCTCCTCTTCACCAACGCTCTCCTCCTCTGGTCCCTTCACACACTTGAACCCAGAGGGAAAGGGTGTAGCCACATGGCCTTCACTCTGCCCAAAGTTGGCAGCCAATGCCTCCAGGTACTTTCGTTGATGCACCCGCATGCACCGCTTCTCCACATCTCGTTTGATGTGGAGCCCAAGGTAGAAGCTCACGTCACCAAGGGCCTTGCACTTGAACTTGTCTTGAAGCTTCAGCATCACCTCCTTCACAAGGTCAGAAGAGGGTGAGAAAATGAGGATGTCATCCACATAAACCACCATGAAACTCCTCTGCTCCCCCTCGCCAAGCATGAACAAGGAGTGATCGGCCGTTGAGGGAGTGAAGCCGATCCCCTCCAACACTTCGCGCAGCTTCATGTACCATTGCCTAGGGGCCTGCTTCAGCCCATAGAGGGCCTTCTTCAGCTTCCACACTCTGCCACTACCATCATCAAACCCCTCTGGCTGCGCCATAAAAATCTCCTCCTCAAGGATGCCGTTAAGGAATGCCGTTACGATGTCCATTTGCTTTACTACCCATCATTTGATGGCGGCTCCCGCGAATAGGGTTCGCAGCGTCGTCGGCTTCACCAAAGGGGCAAACAGCTCCTTGAAGTCCACCTTCTCCTTCTGCTGGTACCCCTTGGCTACAAGCCTAGACTTGTAGCGCTCGATCTTGCCGTCGGCATCCGACTTGATTTTGAAGAGCCACTTGGACGTTATCGCCGTACGCCCCTCCGGTAGCTCCACCAATTCAAACGTGTCATTCTCCTCGATGCTCTTCAGCTCACTCTCCATGGCCTTCTTCCACTCCTCAGCATCACTACTCTCCAAAGCCTCCTTGAGAGTTGCTGGTTCTCCCGGCATCTCCACCGGAGAGAAGAACGCGAAGGCACACTCCTCGTAGTCACTCTCCTCGTCGTCTCCGACCATCATTGCCGCTCCGGCCAGGGCTGTCTTGCCCTGCTTTCCCGGCGCATCATAGGTCAGCCTATTAGGGGGTTGAACTCTCCTCTTCCCCCTTCCTTCCTCCTCAGCTGCAGGGACTTGAAGGCCTTGGCGTTGCTGCGGTGTGGCTCGAATCCGTGGAGCACTCGTAGTACGGGAAGGGAGTGACGGTGCACGCTCGCTCACTTGCTGCACCTCCTCCTCTTCTTCCTCTGCATCATTGGCCTCCTCTCCCCCATTCACAAGGGAGGATTGCCTTGTGGTTGTGCTGCCGCTGCTCAGCTCCAAAGGCAGCTCCACATGCTCCAAACCGGAACTCTTCACCTCCCCAAACCGCACGCCTATCTTCGCCTCATTCTCCGCCTTCCAATCCTTGTACATGAAGTTCTCCATGAACTTGCAGTCCCTGCTCACCAAGAACTTCTTGGTGAATGGGTCCCAAAGAAGCCATCCCTTGCTGTTTTGAGCCATGCCCAAGTGCACGGCCCACACCGCCTTGGCACCAAGCTTGTTGTGCCGAAGATGCTTAGGCACGAGCGCCATGCACATGCACCCGAACACCCGAAGCATATCCACCTTTGGCTTCCTTCCTAGCCACTCCACATAGGGCACCCATTTGTCTGCTCCCACATGAGTCAAGGCTCTGTTCTTGGCCACACACGCGCTCCGCACCGCATCAGGCCAGAAATAGTCGGGTAGCCCGGCTTCAATGAGCAACCCGCGTGCCGCCTCCGTGATTGTGCGGTTCGCTCGCTCGGCGATGCCGTTCATTGCAGGGGAGTATGGCATGGTGAGGGAGTGCCGAATACCATTCTTCTTCAGCCACAACCCAAACTCCTTGCTCAGGAACTCTCCCCCTCGATCGGTGCGGATTGACTTGACTAGACGGTCTTGTTGCCGCTCCATCATCGGGAACCAATCCGTCTTCAACGTTTCAGCCACGTCGCTCTTCTTGGCCAGCACGTACACCCAAGTCATGCGGGTGTAGACGTCGACAATGGTGAGAAAATACTCAGCTCCAGCAGCTCCAAGCTTCAGGGGGCCCACCACGTCCATCACCACCTCATCAAGTGGTGCCTTTGCCGTTGCCTCCGAACTAGGGAACGGAAACCGGGTGAACTTGGCTTGAATGCACGTCGGGCAGCCAAGCACCTCATCGGGCTCCCCCTTCACACGTATGCCAGCAACCATCTCATTCTTCACTAGCTGCTGCAAGATGGGCAGGGCCACATGCCCCATGCGCCGATGCAAGGTGAGCCAATCACACTCCCCCGTAGCCGAAGTTGGATTGGAGAATGCCGCGCTCGCAATAGCGCCCCACATACTCTCTCCGTAGTCCTCCTCCGCTGCTGCCTCTGGGTTCTCCTCACCCTTTTGCTGCTCCTTGGTTGCTGCACCACTCTCCTTAGGTTCACTGAACTTGCTGGTCCCTCCAGGTTTGCTCTTCTTGAGCTCATTCTCCTTAGCGCGACCGTTCGCGCCATCGTCGCTACCGACCGCTCCATCCTTGGTGCTGATGCTTGCTGCCACTTGCCTCTCCTTAGGCATAGGGACCACTGGGATCTGCCACATCTCGTTGTAGACATCCCTGTCCTCATGAAGGTCCCAAAGAATTCGATCGCCAAGCCTTGCGGTGTAGGTCTTGGCTCCCTTCGAGTTCGTGTCCATGCCGGCCTTTGCCAACCGCCGCACGGAAATCAGGTTTGCAGCAAGGCTGGGCACCCAAAGCACGTTCTTGAGGCCCACCATCTTCCCATCAGCACCCTTGAACATGGCCTTGCCCATGCCTTTCACCTCTGCTCGCTGCCCCAAAGCCGATGTGACATGCTTCACCGGTGACGGCTCGAGTTCGGTGAGCAAGTCCGGGCGAGGTGTCATGCTATAGGTAGCGCCACTATCAATCACCCAATACTCCAGGGGGTGTAGGGTCACCTTCCCCACAGCTGCTGGCTCCTCAAAGCCTTCATCCTTCTCTGGACCAGCCGGTACTTGCGTCGACACGAAGTAGAATAGACCCGGGTATCGATCGTCGCTCGGGTCCTTGTCGTTGTCTCCGCTCTTCATGTTTGCAGCTCCGCCACCGCGACCGCCACGGCCTCCACGGCCTCGTCCTCTCCCTCCTCCTGCTCCTCTACCCTCTTGGCCTTGAGCAGGGGTCCAACCATCAGGGAGTTTGTAGCAGTCGCGCCACATGTGTCCGCTCTTGTGGCAATAGTGACACTCGCCGTCGAATCGGCCGCGACCGCGTCCGTAGCTCTTGTCGTCGCTGCCGTAACCGCCACTCCTGCGGCCTCCGCCGAAGTTGCTGCCACCAAACCTTCCTCCCCCTCGTCCTCTGCCTCTTCCTCGACCATATCCACGGCCGATGCTCGCTGCCCCAGCGCCATCCGCACTCGCCAACTCACGGCGGCGGAAATCCTCTTGAAGGATAGCTCGCTTCACGTCTTCAAGCGAGAGGCGGGGCAAGTCGCGATTAAGGTTGATGATGAGCGAGGACCATGACTCTGGGAGTAAGGCCAGCAACTTGGTCTTCTTTTGGAGCTCACTGTAGTTCAAATCAGCTCCCTCAAGCCGCGTCAACAAGTCGAAGAATTTCTGCACCCCTTCTTCAACCGCTTCGTCTTCTTCAATTCGTAGTGCCGCCATTTGCCGTTCCAACACCACCGCTACCGCCGCTGTTGCAGGAGCATGTACACCCTTGAGAGCAGCCCATGCCTTTGGTCCTTTCTCTGGTTCACGCTGGAATGGCTTGATGTGACGGATCTGACTGCTCCCCAACGCTTGCCCAAGTAAGAGATAGCCTTGTGCGCTCTTCCGCACCCACGGGCTCTTCTCCGGGTCGTTCTCGGGGCACTTCTCCGTTCCTTCCATCACCTCCAGCAGGTCATAGTGGTCAAAGATGTTCTCCATCTTGAAGGACCATTCAGCAAAGTTGTCACCGTTGAACTTGTCAAGCCCAAACACCCTAGGCTCATCCCTAGGTGGGCCAAGACTTGGTTGCATGGGCGCCATGGCTGAATCACGGGGTTGGCCTTGAGCTTGAGCTTCTCCACTGCCACCAGCACCTCTGCCACCCCTTTCCTCAGGTCCAGACATTGTCGAAACTGCTCCAAAGGGCTCTGATACCACTTGTTAAAGTCACAATAGGCTTGAATGTGCCTAAAACGAAAGATAGAGAGCACAGACGGATTTTTGCACAGCGGCTTCAAACGTTGATAGCGTTCTGCTCACAGCTGCAAATGACTTGATTCAAATTGGATCTGGAGCGTCTTTACGTCGTCTACAATTAGCAATTTAGATTGCACGATTTGATAAATAATTGACGACACAGCGTCGGTTTGAACGAACGGTACTATGGCAGCCACTATAGTCTTAGAACACAAGATAGGAAGAGTTACGAGTTGGGAATGACTCCCAGCTCCTACAAACCCCAAGAGCCGAGGTACAGTGATGTGGAACAGTGCCACACTGTCCCCAACCACGAAGGGTCTCGAAACTACCCTTCACTAGGGCCTACACCAAGTGAAATGTTACACTACACAAAGTAATGTAACTATCTTCAATATCTTGAGGTGTACCCTTTTGGCAAGCTTCGAAATCACTTGAGGCTTGACACCAAGGCTCGGGCTCTTCATCACAAACTCATCCTTGAGTTCTTGATGGGTCTGCTGCACACACCTGCGACACGCCGAACGTTCGACACAGGACAAAATAGAAACCGTGCACGACAAAATAGAAACCGCGCGCGAGACACAAACGACCGCGTAACACGCGTCTAGCGATAACTCGCTATTGACTCGACACACACACTCGACATCATGACTCAACATTCACACACAATTATAAGCATGAAATATATATAATCCCATGCCCTCATACCATTCCATACACACACACATTCACGCACACGGACAACAAGCCGAGTGCAAACCGTAGGGTTGCACCAACAGGAAGGAAGGATAATGGGGCGGGTGATGGAAAGCGGGAGAATGGGGCGGGGTGATGGAAAGCGGGAGAATGGGGCGGGGTGATGGAAGGAGGGAGAATGGGGCAGGGTGATGGAAGGAGGGAGAATGGGGCGGGGTGATGGAAAGCGGGAGAACGGGGCGGGGTGATGGAAAGCGGGAGAATGGGCCGGGGTGATGGAAAGCGGGAGAATGGGGCGGGGTGATGGAAAGCGGGAGAATGGGGCGGGGTGATGGAAAGCGGGAGAATGGGGCGGGGTGATGGAAAGAGGGAGAACGGGGCGGGGTGATGGAAAGCGGGAGAATGGGGCGGGGTGATGGAAAGCGGGAGAACGGGGCGGGGTGATGGAAAGCGGGAGAACGGGGCAGGGTGATGGAAAGCGGGAGAATGGGGCGGGGTGATGGAAAGCGGGAGAATGGGGCGGGGTGATGGAAAGCGGAAGAATGGGGCGGGGTGATGGAAGGAGGGATAATGGGGCGGGTGATGGAAAGCGGGAGAATGGGGCGGGGTGATGGAAAGCGGGAGAATGGGGCGGGGTGATGGAAGGAGGGAGAATGGGGCGGGGTGATGGAAGGAGGGAGAATGGGGCGGGGTGATGGAAAGCTGGAGAATGGGGCGGGGTGATGGAAAGCGGGAGAACGGGGCGGGGTGATGGAAAGCGGGAGAATGGGCCGGGGTGATGGAAAGCGGGAGAATGGGGCGGGGTAATGGAAAGCGGGAGAATGGGGCGGGGTGATGGAAAGCGGGAGAATGGGGCGGGGTGATGGAAAGCGGGAGAACGGGGCGGGGTGATGGAAAGCGGGAGAATGGGGCGGGGTGATGGAAAGCGGGAGAAAGGGGCGGGGTGATGGAAGGAGGGAGAATGGGGCGGGGTGATGGAAGGAGGGAGAATGGGGCGGGGTGATGGAAAGCGGGAGAATGGGGAGGGGTGATGGAAGGAGGGAGAATGGGGCGGGGTGATGGAAAGCGGGAGAATGGTGCGGGGTGATGGAAAGCGGGAGAATGGGGCGGGGTGATGGAAAGCGGGAGAATGGGGCGGGGTGATGGAAAGCGGGAGAAAGGGGCGGGGTGATGGAAAGCGGGAGAATGGGGCGGGGTGATGGAAAGCGGGAGAATGGGGCGGGGTGATGGAAAGCGGGAGAATGGGGCGGGGTGATGGAAAGCGGGAGAATGGGGCAAGGTGATGGAAAGCGGGAGAATGGGGCGGGGTGATGGAAAGCGGGAGAATGGGGCGGGGTGATCGAAAGCGGGAGAATGGGGCGGGGTGATGGAAAGCGGGAGAATGAACGGGGTGATGGAAAGCGGGAGAATGGGGCGGGGTGATGGAAGGAGGGAGAATGGGGCGGGGTTATGGAAAGCGGGAGAATGGTGCGGGGTGATGGAAACCAGGAGAATGGGGCGGGGTGATGGAAAGCGGGAGAATGGGGCGGGGTGAAGGAAAGCGGGAGAATGGGGCGGGGTGATGGAAAGCGGGAGAATGGGGCGCGGTGATGGAAAGCGGGAGAATGGGGCGGGGTGATGGAAAGCGGGAGAATGGGGCGGGGTGATGGAAAGCGGGAGAATGGGGCGGGGTGATGGAAAGCGGGAGAATGGGGCGGGGTGATGGAAAGCGGGAGAATGGGGCGGGGTGATGGAAAGCGGGAGAATGGGGCGGGGAGATGGAAAGCGGGAGAATGGGGCGGGGTGATGGAAGGAGGGAGAATGGGGCGGGGTGATGGAAAGCGGGAGAATAGGGCGGGGTGATGGAAAGCGTGAGGATGGGGCGGGGTGATGGAAGGAGGGAGAATGGGGCGGGGTGATGGAAGGAGGGAGAATGGGGCGGGGTGATGGAAAGCGGGAGAATGGGGGGGGGTGAAGGAAAGCGAGAGAATGGGGCGGGGTGATGGAAAGCGGGAGAATGGGGCGGGGTGATGGAAAGCGGGAGAATGGGGCGGGGTGATGGAAAGCGGGAGAATGGGGCGGGGTGATGGAAAGCGGGAGAATGGGGCGGGGTGATGGAAAGCGTGAGAATGGGGCGGGGTGATGGAAGGAGGGAGAATGGGGCGGGGTGATGGAAAGCGGGAGAATGGGGCGGGGTGATGGAAGGAGGGAGAATGGGGCGGGGTGATGGAAGGAGGGATAATGGGGCGGGTGAAAGAAAGCGGGAGAATGGGGCGGGGTGATGGAAAGCGGGAGAATGGGACGGGGTGATGGAAGGTGGGAGAATGGGGCGGGGTGATGGAAGGAGGGAGAATGGGGTGGGGTGATGGAAAGCGGGAGAATGGGGCGTGGTGATGGAAAGCGGGAGAATGGGGCGGGGTGATGGAAAGCGGGAGAATGGGGCGGGGTGATGAAAAGCGGGAGAATGGGGCAGGGTGATGGAAGGAGGGAGAATGGGGCGGGGTGATGGAAAGCGGGAGAATGGGGCGGGGTGATGGAAAGCGGGAGAATGGGGCGGGGTGATGGAAAGCGGGAGAATGGTGCGGGGTGATGGAAAGCGGGAGAATGGGGCGGGGTTATGGAAAGCAGGAGAATGGGGCGGGGTGATGGAAAGCGGGAGAATGGGGCGGGGTGATGGAAGGAGGGAGAATGGGGCGGGGTGATGGAAGGAGGGAGAATGGGGCGGGTTGATGGAAGGAGGGATAATGGGGCGGGTGAAAGAAAGCAGGAGAATGGGGCGGGGTGATGGAAAGCGGGAGAATGGGGCGGGGTGATGGAAGGAGGGAGAATGGGGCGGGGTGATGGAAACCAGGAGAATGGGCGGGGTGATGGAAAGCGGGAGAATGGGTCGGGGTGATGGAAAGCGGGAGAATAGGGCGGGGTGATGGAAAGCGGGAGAAAGGGGCGGGGTGATGGAAGGTGGGAGAATGGGGCGGGGTGATGGAAAGCGGGAGAATGGGGCGGGGTGATGGAAGGAGGGAGAATGGGGCGGGGTGATGGAAAGCGGGAGAATGGGGAGGGGTGGTGGAAAGCGGGAGAATGGGGCGGGGTTATGGAAAGCGGGAGAATGGGGCGGGGTGATGGAAAGCGGGAGAATGGGGCGGGGTGATGGAAAGCGGGAGAATGGGGCGGGGTGATGGAAGGAGGGAGAATGGGGCGGGGTGATGGAAAGCGGGAGAATGGGGCGGGGTGATGGAAGGAGGAGAATGGGGCGGGGTGATGGAAAGCGGGAGAATGGGGCGGGGTGATGGAAAGCGGGAGAATGGGGCGGGGTGATGGAAAGCGGGAGAATGGGGCGGGGTGATGGAAAGCGGGAGAATGGAGCAGGCTGATGGTAGGAGGGAGAATGGGGCGGGGTGATGGAAGGAGGGAGAATGGGCCGGGGTGATGGAAAGCTGGAGAATGGGGCGGGGTGATGGAAAGCGGGAGAATGGGGCGGGGTGATGGAAAGCGGGAGAATGTGGCGGGGTGATAAAAAGCAGGAGAATGGGGCGGGGTGATGGAAAGCGGGAGAATGTGGCGGGGTGATGGAAAGCGGGAGAATGGGGCGGGGTGATGGAAAGCGAGAGAATTGGGCGGAGTGATGGAAAGCGGGAGAATGGGGCGGGGTGATGGAAAGCGGGAGAAAGGGGCGGGGTAATGGAAGGAGGGAGAATGGGGCGGGGTGATGGAAGGAGGGAAAATGGGGCGGGGTGATGGAAAGCGGGAGAATGGGGCGGGGTGATGGTAGGAGGGAGAATGGGGCGGGGTGATGGAAAGCGGGAGAATGGTGCGGGGTGATGGAAAGTGGGAGAATGGGGCGGGGTGATGCAAAGCGGGAGAATGGGGAGGGGTGATGGAAGGAGGGAGAATGGGGCGGGGTGATGGAAAGCGGGAGAATGGGGCGGGGTGATGGAAAGCGGGAGAATGGGGCAGGGTGATGGAAAGCGGGAGAATGGGGCGGGGTGATGGAAAGCGGGAGAATGGGGCGGGGTGATGGAAAGCGGGAGAATGGGGCGGGGTGATGGAAAGCGGGAGAATGGGGCGGGGTGATGGAAAGCGGGAAAACAAGGCGGGGTGATGGAAAGCGGGAGAACGGGGCGGGGTGATGGAAAGCGGGAGAATGGGGCGGAGTGATGGAAAGCGGGAGAATGGGGCGGGGTGAGGGAAAGCGGGAGAATGGGGCGGGGTGATGGAAAGCGGGAGAATGGGGCGGGGTGATGGAAGGAGGGAGAATGGGGCGGGGTAACGGAAGGAGGGAGAATGGGGCGGGGAGATGGAAAGCTGGAGAATGGGGCGGGGTGATGGAAAGCGGGAGAATGGGGCGGGGTGATGGAAAGCGGAAGAATGGGGCGGGGTGATGGAAAGCGGGAGAATGGGGCGGGGTGATGGAAAGCGGGAGAATGGGGCGGGGTGATGGAAAGCGGGAGAATAGGGCGGGGTGATTGAAAGCGGGAGAATTGGGCGGAGTGATGGAAAGCGGGAGAATGGGTCGGGGTGATGGAAAACGGGAGAAAGGGGCGGGGTGATGGAAGGAGGGGGAATGGGGCGGGGTGATGGAAGGAGGGAGAATGGGGCAGGGTGATGCAAAGCGGGAGAATGGGGCGGGGTGATGGAAGGAGGGAGAATGGGGCGGGGTGATGGAAAGCGGGAGAATGGTGCGGGGTGATGGAAAGCGGGAGAATGGGGCGGGGTGATGGAAAGCGGGAGAATGGGGCGGGGTGATGGAAAGCGGGAGAATGGGGCGGGGTGATGGAATGCGGGTGAATGGGGCGGGGTGATGGAAGGAGGGAGAATGGGGCGGGGTGATGGAAGGAGGGAGAATGGGGCGGGGTGATGGAAAGCGGGAGAATGGGGCGGGGTGATGGAAAGCGGGAGAATGGGGCGGGGTGATGGAAAGCGGGAGAATGGGGCGGGGTGATGGAAAGCGGGAGAATGGGGCGGGGTGATGGAAAGCGGGAGAATGGGGCGGGGTGATGGAAAGCGGGAGAATGGGGCGGGGTGATGGAAAGCGGGAGAATGGGGCGGGGTGATGGAAAGCGGGAGAATGGGGCGGGGTGATGGAAAGCGGGAGAATGGGGCGGAGTGGTGGAAAGCGGGAGAATGGGGCGAGGTGATGGAAGGAGGGAGAATGGGGCGGGGTGATGGAAAGCGTGAGAATGGTGCGGGGTGATGGAAAACGGGAGAATGGGGCGGGGAGATGGAAAGCGGGAGAATGGGGCGGGGTGATGGAAAGCGGGAGAATGGGGCGGGGTGATGGAAAGCGGGAGAATGGGGCGGGGTGATGGAAAACGGGAGAATGGGGCGGGGTGATGGAAAGCGGGAGAATGGGGCGGGGTGATGGAAAGCGGGAGAATGGGGCGGGGAGATGGAAAGCGTGAGGATGGGGCGGGGTGATGGAAGGAGGGAGAATGGGGCGGGGTGATGGAAGGAGGGAGAATGGGGCGGGGTGATGGAAAGCGGGAGAATGGGGCGGGGTGATGGAAAGCGGGAGAATGGGGCGGGGTGATGGAAAGCGGGAGAATGGGGCGGGGAGATGGAAAGCGTGAGGATGGGGCGGGGTGATGGAAGGAGGGAGAATGGGGCGGGGTGATGGAAGGAGGGAGAATGGGGCGGGGTGATGGAAATCGAGAGAATGGTGCGGGGTGATGGAAAGCGGGAGAATGGGGCGGGGTGATGGAAAGCGGGAGAATGGGGCGGGGTGATGGAAAGCGGGAGAATGGGGCGGGGTGATGGAAAGCGGGAGAATGGGGCGGGATGATGGAAGGAGGGAGAATGGGGCGGGGTGATGGAAGGAGGGAGAATGGGGCGGAGTGATGGAAAGCGGGAGAATGGGGCGGGGTGATGGAAAGTGGGAGAATGGGGTGGGGTGATGGAAAGTTGGGCGCGGTGATGGAAAGTGGGGCGCGGTGATGGAAAGCGGGAGAATGGGGCGGGGTGATGGAAAGCGGGAGAATGGGGCGGGGTGATGGAAAGTGGGAGAATGAGGCGGGGTGATGGAAAGCGGGAGAATGGGGCGGGTTGATGGAAAGCGGGAGAATGGGGCGGGGTGATGGAAAGCGGGTGAATTGGGCGGGGAGATGGAAAGCCCCGTTCTCCCGCCCCAGAGCCTTGTTTTCCATCACCCCGACCCATTCTCCCGCTTTCCATCACTCCGCCCAAATCTCCCGCTTTCCATCACCCCGCCCTACTCTCCCGCTTTCCATCACCCCGCCCCATTCTCCCGCTTTCCATCACCCCGCCCCATTCTCCCGCTTTCCATCACCCCGCCCCATTCTCCCGCTTAACATCACCCCGCACCATTCACTCTCCTTCCATCACCCCGCCCCATTCTCCCTCCTTCCATCACCCCGCCCCATTCTCCCTCCTTCTATCACCCCGCCCCATTCTCCCGCTTTCCATCACCCCGCCCCATTCTCCCGCTTTCCATCACCCCGCCCCATTCTCCCGCCTTCCATCACCCCGCCTCATTCTCCCGCTTTCCATCACCCCGCCCCATTCTCCCGCTTTCCATCACCCCGCCCCATTCTCCCGCTTTCCATCACCCCGCCCCATTCTCCCGCTTTCCATTGCTCCGCCCCATTCTCCCGCTTTCCATCACCCCGCCCCATTCTCCCTCCTTCCATCACCCCGCCCAATTCTCCCGCTTTCCATCACCCCGCCCCATTCTCCCGCTTTCCATCACCCCGCCCCATTCTCCCGCTTTCCATCACCCCGCCCCATTCTCCCTCATTCCATTACCCCGCCCCATTCTCCCGCTTTCCATCACCCCGCCCCATTCTCCTGCTTTCCACCACCCCGCCCCATTCTCCTGCTTACCATCATCCCGCCCCATTCTCCCACTTTCCATCACTCCGCCCCATTCTCCCGCTTTCCATCACCCCGCCCCATTCTCCCGCTTTCCATCACCCCGCCCCATTCTCCCGCTTTCCATCACCCCGCCCCATTCTCCCTCCTTCCATCACCCCGCCCCGTTCTCCCTCCTTCTATCACCCCGCCCCATTCTCCCGCTTTCCATCACCCCGCCCCATTCTCCCGCTTTCCATCACCCCGCCCCATTCTCCCGCCTTCCATCACCCCGCCTCATTCTCCCGCTTTCCATCACCCCGCCCCATTCTCCCGCTTTCCATCACCCCGCCCCATTCTCCCGCTTTCCATCACCCCGCCCCATTCTCCCGCTTTCCATTGCTCCGCCCCATTCTCCCGCTTTCCATCACCCCGCCCCATTCTCCCTCCTTCCATCACCCCGCCCAATTCTCCCGCTTTCCATCACCCCGCCCCATTCTCCCGCTTTCCATCACCCCGCCCCATTCTCCCGCTTTCCATCACCCCGCCCCATTCTCCCTCATTCCATTACCCCGCCCCATTCTCCCGCTTTCCATCACCCCGCCCCATTCTCCTGCTTTCCACCACCCCGCCCCATTCTCCTGCTTACCATCATCCCGCCCCATTCTCCCACTTTCCATCACTCCGCCCCATTCTCCCGCTTTCCATCACCCCGCCCCATTCTCCCGCTTTCCATCACCCCGCCCCATTCTCCCGCTTTCCATCACCCCGCCCCATTCTCCCGCTTTCCATCACACCGCCCCATTCTCCTGCTTTCCACCACCCCGCCCTATTCTCCCGCTTTCCATCACCCCGCCCCATTCTCCCGCTTTCCATCACCCCGCCACATTCTCCCGCTTTACATCACCCCGCCCCATTCTCCCGCTTTCCATCACACCGCCCCATTCTCCTGCTTTCCATCACCTCGCCCCATTCTCCCTCCTTCCATCACCCCGCCCCATTCTCCTGCTTTCCATCACCCCGCCCCATTCTTTCGCTTTCCATCAACCCGCCCCATTCTCCCGCTTTCCATCACTCCGCCCCATTCTCCGGCTTTCCATCACCCCGCCCCATTCTCCCTCCTTCCATCACCCCTCCCCATTCTCCCTCCTTCCATCCCCCATTCTCTCGCTTTTCATCACCCCGCCCCATTCTCCTGCTTTCCATCATCCCTCCCCATTCTCCCGCTTTCCATCACCCCGCCCCATTCTCCCTCCTTCCATCACCCCGCCCCATTCTCCCGCTTTCCATCACCCCCCCCCCCATTCTCCCGCTTTCCATCACCCTGCCCCATTCTCCCGCTTTCCATCACCCCGCCCCATTCTCCCTCCTTCCATCACCCCGCCCCGTTCTCCCGCTTTCCATCAACCCGCCCCGTTCTCCCGCTTTCCATCACCCCGCCCCATTCTCCCTCTTTCCATCACCCCGCCCCATTCTCCCTCTTTCCATCACCCCCCCCCCATTCTCCCGCTTTCCATCACCCCGCCCCATTCTCCCGCTTTCCATCACCCCGCCCCATTCTCCCTCCTTCCATCACCCCGCCCCGTTCTCCCGCTTTCCATCACCCCGCCCCGTTCTCCCGCTTTCCATCACCCCGCCCCTTTTTCCTGCTTTCCATCACCCGCCCCATTCTCCCACTTTCCATCACCCCGCCCCATTCTCCCACTTTCCATCACCCCGCCCCATTCTCCCTCCTTCCATCACTCCGCCCCATTCTCCCTCCTTCCATCACCCCACCCCATTCTCCCTCCTTCCATCACCCCGCCCCATTCTCCCGCTTTCCATCGCCCCGCCCCATTCTCCCGCTTTCCATCGCCCCGCCCCATTCTCCCGCTTTCCATCACCCCGCCCCATTCTCCCGCTTTCCATCACCCCGCCCCATTCTCCCTCTTTCCATCACCCAGCCCCATTCTCCCTCCTTCCATCACCCCGCCCCATTCTCCCTCCTTCCATCACCCCGCCCCATTCTCCCGCTTTCCATCACCCCGCCCCATTCTCCCGCTTTCCATCACCCCGCCCCATTCTCCCTCCTTCCATCACCCCGCCCATTCTCCCTCCTTCCATCACCCCGCCCATTCTCCCGCTTCCCATCACCCCGCCCCATTCTCCCTCCGTCCATCACCCCGCCCCATTCTCCCGCTTTCCATCACCCGCCCCATTCTCCCGCTTTCCATCACCCGCCCCATTCTCCTGCTTTCCATCACCCCGCCCCATTCTCCCGCTTTCCATCACCCCGCCCCATTCTCCCGCTTTCTATCACCCCGCCCCATTCTCCCGCTTTCTATCACCCTCCCCATTCTCCCACTTTAATCACCCCGCCCCATTCTCCCGCTTTCCGTCACCCCGCCCCATTCTCCCGCTTTCCATCACCCCGCCCCATTCTCCCTCCTTCCATCACCCCGCCCCATTCTCCTGCTTTCCATCACCCTGCCCCATTCTCCTGCTTTCCATCACCCCGCCCCATTCTCACGCTTTCCATCACCCCGCCCCATTCTCACGCTTTCCATCACCCCGCCCCATTCTCCCGCTTTCCATCACCCCGCCCCATTCTCCCGCTTTCCATCACCCCGCCCCATTCTCCCGCTTTCCATCACCCCGCCCCATTCTCCCGCTTTCCATCACCCCGCCCCATTCTCCCGCTTTCCATCACCCCGCCCCATTCTCCCGCTTTCCATCACCCCGCCCCATTCTCCTGCTTTCCATCACCCCGCCCCATTCTCCCGCTTTCCATCACCAAGCACCATTCTCCCGCTTTCCATCACCCCGCCCCATTCTCCCTCCTTCCATCACCCCGCCCCATTCTCCCGCTTTCCATCACCCCGCCCCATTCTCCCGCTTTCCATCACCCCGCCCCATTCTCCCTCCTTCCATGACCCTGCCCCATTCTCCCTCCTTCCATGACCCTGCCCCATTCTCCCTCCTTCCATGACCCTGCCCCATTCTCCCGCTTTCCATCACCCCACCCCATTCTCCCTCCTTCCATCACCCCGCCCCATTCTCACGCTTTCCATCACCCCGCCCCATTCTCCTGCTTTCCATCACCCCGCCCCATTCTCCCGCTTTCCATCACCCCGCCCCATTCTCCCGCTTTCCATCACCCCGCCCCATTCTCCCGCTTTCCATCACCCCGCCGTATTCTCCCGCTTTCCGTCACCCCGCCCCATTCTCCCGCTTTCCATCACCCCGCCCCATTCTCCCGCTTTCCCTCACCCCGCCCCATTCTCCCGCTTTCCATCACCCTGCCCCATTCTCCCGCTTTCCATCACCCAGCCCCATTCTCCCTTCTTCCATGACCCTGCCCCATTCTCCCGCTTTCCATCACCCTGCCCCATTCTCCCTTCTTCCATGACCCCGCCCCATTCTCCCGCATTCCATCACCCCGCCCCATTCTCCCGCTTTCCATCACCCCGCCCCATTCTCCCGCTTTCCATCACCCCGCCCCATTCTCCATCCTTCCATCACCCCGCCCCATTCTCCCTCCTTCCATCACCCCGCCCCATTCTCCCGCTTTCCATCACCCCGCCCCATTCTCCCGCTTTCCATCACCCCGCCCCATTCTCCCGCTTTCCATCACCCCGCCCCATTCTCCCGCTTTCCATCACCCCGCCCCATTCTCCCGCTTTCCATCACCCCGCCCGATTCTCCTGCTTTCCATCACCCCGCCCCATTCTCCCGCTTTCCATCACCCAGCCCCATTCTCCCGCTTTCCATCATCCTGCCCCATTCTCCCTCCTTCCATCACCCCGCCCCATTCTCCCGCTTTCCATCACCCCGCCCCATTCTCCCGCTTTCCATCAACCCGCCCCATTCTCCCTCCTTCCATGACCCTGCCCCATTCTCCCGCGTTCCATCACCCTGCCCCATTCTCCCGCTTTCCATCACCCTGCCCCATTCTCCCGCTTTCCATCACCCCGCCCCATTCTCCCTCCCTCGATCACCCCGCCCCATTCTCCCTCCTTCCATCACCCCGCCCCATTCTCCCTCCTTCCATCACCCCGCCGCATTCTCCCGCTTTCCATCACCCCGCCCCATTCTCTCGCTTTCCATCACCCCGCCCCATTCTCCCGCTTTCCATCACCCCGCCCCATTCTCCCGCTTTCCATCACTCCGCCCCATTCTCCCGCTTTCCATCACCCTGCCCCATTCTCCCGCTTTCCATCACCCAGCCCCATTCTCCCGCTTTCCATCATCACGCCCCATTCTCCCTCTTTCCATCACCCCGCCCCATTCTCCCTCCTTCCATGACCCTGCCCCATTCTCTCGCGTTCCATGACCCTGCCCCATTCTCCCGCTTTCCATCACCCCGCCCC